CATACAAATACATTCCAAAACTCAGTGACTTAAAGCAATAGCCATTTATTATTGCTCACATGTGCATAGTTGGGGTGGCTGATCTAGGCTGGGCTGTCTGGGCTTTCTTGTCTTCCTTCTGGGGTTAGCAGCCCCACACAGGTATGTTCTTCTCCAGGCAGGGTGGAAGGGAGGAAGTGCTTTTCATGCCTTTTGCTGTATTACATCTGCTGTGATCCATTGACCAAAACAGATCACATGGCCAGCCCTAAAGTTCAAGGGTGGGAAAGTACACGCTGTTCATGAAGAGGGGAGACAGGAAGGGGTGAATACATCTCCAAAAGGATGTGATCTTTCCAACCAAATATGTGCCAGAAATAGTCCACCAACCTCATTCACTATAAAACTCTGTCCGCGCTCCTCCCATCATCGGTCCCAACCTCTGAATGAATGAATGCTTGGTGCTGTGAAGACAGATGGCAGAGAGAGGAAGAACTACCATCTCTGCAACTTTCTGCATATCTGTGGGTGACATGATTTGGATTGGTGGCAAATTGAGTCTAAACCAGTAGTTCCTATCTTGGGGGGGTGGGGTTATTATTTTGTTTCTGCCCAGGCTGTATTACTAAATCTTTTTCAGTTACAATGACTAGTTTGTTCAAAGACGGGGGAGGTTGGCTTATGTAAATGGGATATAGAAGGAAAGAAATTAGTTTCAAGCATGGTGGGATCCAAAAGTTTAGCAATATTATTCATATTTTCCCTCTCCCGAACCCTCTCTCTTTCCCTCTCTCTCTCTCTCTACTTGTCTCTTCCCATGTACTTTCTCTGCATCTCTCTCTCCATTTCTCCAAGTCTCTCTCCATCTCCTTCCCTTCCTTCCTCCTACTCTTTCTCTCTCATCTTTCTCTCTCCCCCTCACCTTCCTTCTCTCCTTTCTTTCCTTCCCCTCCTCCATCTCTGGGTTCTGACTTGTTACCAGTCAGGCTTTCTCTGTGTACTTGTACAGGTGCCCCCAGCATCTCCAGGCATACCTGTCCATCATGGTGCAATTTTGCAAAGGTTCGCTTTTATCACCATTCAAAGTGCACCCTATTTAAGGAATCAAACCATTGCAAGAGGCACTTTTATGAAAACGGCAGTCTCTGTTCCCTGTTCAGTTTCCTGATGATCTAAATTTCTTTCTGAATAACATGGGGCATTTTGATTTTTCATCCTTATTTTTTAAATTCCATCTACAGAGGCAATGCATCTCACCACAGAAATCTACCCTTCCCTACACCAAACTCCCAGTATAGTTAAGGTACTCTTCTGGTTGGATCATTATTCAATAATTACATTATTGTAACCATATAAGTGCTTCTCCCAGCTGAGTCAAGTAGTTAACTATGATTACTTTTCTTTCTTATGCAACACTGTTTTCACTGGAGTGAATGTGATTACCTCTTTCCTTTTTCTTTTCTTTTTTTTTTTGTGGGGGGAGGGTGGGGTCTTACTATGTCACCCAGGCTAGAGTACCACAACCTTGACCTCCTGGACACAGGTGATCTTTCCACCTCAGTCTCCCGAGTAGCTGGGACTACAGGTGTGTGCACCACACTTGGTTATTTTTAAAATTTTTTGTGGAGTTGAGGTCTTGCTATGCTGCCTATGCTGGTCTTCAGTTCCTGGGCTCAGAAAATCCTCCCACCTTGGCCTTCCAAAGTGCTGGTATTACAGACGTGAGCCACCACGCCTGGCTCCACTTTCTCTTTTCTCTTGCTTAGTTTCCTATGGATTTGTCATTAATTTAATCTCAAGTTTCCTAATTACCTGATTCTCACCTCAAGACATTGAGACACTCTATGGCTTTCATCCTTTTGCAGAAGTCTCTCCCAGAGTCTTCTAACTCACACCAATCTGGATGAGTTGCCTTCTGTGTCCGGTAAGCAGATCCTACTTAAGATCTCACTTTACTGTCATCCTGGAATTTGTCTTTTGTCTTCCTGTATTCATCGCCTGCTATGTCTATCTATGTTTTCCTCTTTATAGGGTATGCACTTATTTGGGTGGAACACATCCTAGAGTAGCTTCTTGAGGGATTGGTGAGAAGTATAATTTTGAGATCCTGCATATTTGAAAATGTTTATTATAGTATCCCACTTAACAGAGAGGAATACATTCTGATTATTCCTGAATTGTTGAGAATAAATTCTTGATTAAAACCAATTATTGTCTCTAGGATTTTGAAGGTATTGTTTCTTTGTTTTCTAAGCTCTCAGAGATGTTTTTGAGAAGTCCAAAGTATTTCTGACTTCTGAGATTTTGTAGGTAATCTGCAAGTGAGTAGAATCCAATCTGCTGAACTTTTATGAGATGTATTTTGGTGTGGGCTGAATTTTATCCATCATCCTGGACATGATGAATCTTCTTCATCTGGGAAGTCATAACCTTGTGTTATGGGAGGTGTTATTGAATTTGTATTGGTGATCACTTCCTTTCATTTTTTTCTATTCTCTTTTCTAAAATTCCTATTGTTTTTATGCTGGATCTGCTATACTATTATGGTTTTATCTTAATTTTTCTCCTTTGTCTTTTTCTTTAATATCTGAGAGATTTATTTAACATTACCTTTTAATCTTTTTACTGACTTTTCACAGTTTTAATTTTCATGAGTTTTTTTTACATCCTCAAATGTTTCCCTTTTATAGCTTTCTTTTCTTGTTTTATAGATACAATATCTTCTCTTCTTCCCTTGAGAATATTAGTTTTTAAAAAGTTTTCTTCTGCATTTTTCTTAGTTCATCTGCATTTTTATTTTTTCTGTTTGTTTTGGTCTCTATTTTTTATAATAAACTATTGCTTCTGTAGACTTCTTTCCCATTTCCTTTGTTCTTATTGGGTTATGCCTATATAAGTATCCTTCATTAGTTTCAGTTTGTCTCTGGGTTGTCTGTTTGTATTTAAGACTGGGCACCAAGAGTCCATGGAAGGATTTTGTGTGTTTTGCTCTTGGACTTTAGTGAATTGCAGCTGGCTGAGATGTATTCATTAGGAAACACTGATGTCCATATCTCGAGGTTTTTCCTCTTGGTCTCCTCAGAGAAGGATCTTCCATTTATTTTCCTTGAGGGTAAAAACCTATCTGGCAGTGTGCTAAGAGTTGTATCAAGAAAGAGATTCATTCTCTGGTTTCAGCATTGAGTGAAGGGCACCTTTTCACTCCACAATGCCAGATTCCCTGGCAGGAATCTTACCATCTCCTTAAGATAAACGTCTCATCTCCTATCAAGTCCATGGACCGTAGGATGTCTGGAAAAGATATGTAGAGATGTGATGTGGTATTGTTAGAGTTGATCCTTAAACAAACTTCCACCTAGTCCTCCATTTTGCTGTCACCTTCACCGCATGCAAAAATTAGCTGGTTCCATAAAAACTTGAGTCTGTTGAAGGCCTTTTGCAAGCACCTTTGTCCAATCTACTTTGTCAATGGTTCATCACTTAAAATATTGTTGCTGTCATCTCCTTCTCCATGCTTTTTGTTGTGTGTTGGGGGCATGTTTATTTCAGCTGGATTTAAGGAGAAACCAAAAGTAAACGTGTATTTTTAGTCCCTTGGTGCTTTTAAGCCCTTTGTCTCCTAATGACCATGTGACGTCCCAAAAGAACCCTGATCAAGGGTGTTGGTAACACTTGTCTCCACCCCCTAACCTGGCACTAATCCTGTGATCTGAGTTCTCTTGAGAGTGCAGGTCAACTGCTTTTCCTTGTGATAGGCAAACAGCGACCTGTGACTGGCGACTATAGGAAGATCATACAAGCGACAGTTCCCAAAATAAAGGAATACAGCACTGACAAATAGTCAGTGAATGTCCCAATGCAGGGCAGTTTTGACCTCCAAAAGGCGCTGATGTTGAAGAGAGGATTATCCTCAGTTGTTTTGTATTCAAAAACTGTTGGCACCTTCTCTGAATCACTAGTTATCCAAGCAGAAAGCACCTCCCTTGGTGTTTTTCTCCATTGTAAGCTTCAACCACATCTGTTCACACTTAGCGCTCCTGACTTAATTTATTAATGCAGATTTCCATCGAAGTGCAAGAACAGCAAAGGCTTCCTGAGAAATCCTACACCCTGGGGAGAAAAAAGAGGCCATGGCAGGCGGACTTTCTCAGAACTCTGGACCTGGAGTTTTGGAAGTACACATGGTCAGGGTAAACACAGTATCCTTCCTTTATTTGGATGACTAGTAGAAAGGATGCAACATTTATTTCCCTGCTTTAACTGCTGAAGTCCTAAGGGAAAAAAATCTTGTATAGCAAACCCAAATATGATGAAGTCCCACTTGTCGATCTTATTTCTTAAGGTATTGGCCTTTAGGGTTCTGAATAGGAATTGGTTCCCAGTTCCAATTTCCATGAGGGTGTCTCCTGGGTTTTCTAAGATTCTTATAGTTTGAGGTTTTACGTTTAGGTCTTTGATACACTTAGAGTTAATTTTTGTGTGTGGTGATAGGGCAGGGAGGGGCATACCTCAACAACAAGGGTACCTGCATAGATCAATGTTTATATACCTAACCCTGAATTATACCCCAGGTCTTTACAATAAAATTTTTCTTTCAAAAAAGAAAACCAAAATAATCTGCATGTGTTGGCTGGGTAGATGCTCTTTATTCTTGTAAGGGTTTCTTTTGTGTTAGTTTCTGAAACAAGACATCCTGGACGCTGAAGGAAATAATGTCATCCTTTTTAAAGGTTTAAACTCTAAGCTAAAATGACTTTTGTTTCCTTTTGAGACCTCTGGCCGTCTATGTCGCAGTGATGCCATCTAGAAGACAATGCCGTTGAAGGACATTCTTAATGGCAAACTTTAAATGAAGTGAATCGTTGGTAGCTCAATGACAATGCCTATATGTTATTGTCCTTTTCCTACTTAACAAGAACAAAAGGCCACAGCCAGACCAATTAGTCACATAGGATGGGACGTGATGACATTTCTACTTCTGAACTTTTCTGGTATAAAAGAGCCATCTAAGAAGGATCTGACAGTAAGTGTGAGGAATTTGGCCATAAAACCACCTATCTGTGCAGATTTTGGAAAATTCAAAATGACTGGGTAAAAGACTGCATTTTTTCGCAAAGAAAAATGTTGAATATTTATACATTTTTTACTTATACTTGCCTAGATGAAACTAAAGCAGTTGTGTTTTTTCTTCTACTCTGCAGTTCACTAAAAGTCAACCTTATTTTAGTTCTGTCACTGTCTACAATGCATGTATTGTGGTGTTATCCGGTTCCATCTTCTAAGGTAAGTGTTTTGCCTCTATTTTTGATGCTTGAATAGATAACTAGACTTGTAGGCTATGTAATGGCAAGAAATATATAACAGAAATGTAATTTTCTTTATTATTAAAGCTTTCAATAAAAAAAGTGTAAGCAGATTCATAAAATCAGTACAAGGAAACATTTATGTGACAATAAGTAATACTAGAAACAAATCAAAATGTGTTTTAAATTATTTAAGGGTGGTTCTTATAAAGAGAAATATTCATTTCAGTGTAAAATATTAATTTTTTGCCAGTGACAATTTATTTATTCCACATGCATTTGCTCATAATAAAAGTGAACATTTAACTATTGTTAGACTATTAAAATACGATATTTTTTCAAAAGCAGTGAATTTCCTTCTTTTACAAAAATAGGAACTCTATTCAGATGCAGAATGTGGACAAAATGCTAGAGCTCAATAAAATATCACACAAAACATTAATCATGTATCTATTCAAGAATATTGATTGAGTGCCTATTCTCATTAAACTGTTCAAGACATTCAGAAAATAAATATTTTCCTTTGGAATATTTAATACTATTTGTATATGATATTTCAGTTGCTTTTAATGTCAATATTTTGTTTAAATTTTAAAATATCTTTTGTCACCAATGACAAAATGCCTAGAATTTTTTTTCAACCTAATTTGTCACATTGAAATTACTGAAATCACTGTAATTTGTGATACTACTTTTAGGATAAAGATGCCACATAAATCCTAAATGATAAATATATGTCCAAGCATAATGATCTAGTTATTTATATCACTGGTCTTCTCACAAATCTTTGCAGCTATCATTTTTTAATTTCTTGTTTACTTAATATAGCTTCTTTTCCCGCCTGTTTTATCCTTTAGATCAATCGACACTAATTTAGTCATTGATTCTATAAGACATCACATTGATCGAGGTGATGAGTCCACAATCCATAAATTGGTATATTTTCCCAAATGTCTTTTAATTACTTTCTGTTCTTTCCTCAAAGGTTTATATGTTATATTTCTGTGGAACAAGAGGCACTTGTCTGAAACTTTTTAAAAACTTAAGAATATACTTTATCCTGAAATTCTTAAGAGACCACCTTGGCCACAGATGAAATATTTCTCCTTTCACTGTGTTTTCCATATTTCCATTTTTACACGTGACAGTTTTGTTCTTATTATTACCCCGTCATGGAATAATGGTGTGGATGATATTCATGCCAGTTTGATAGCTTAGGGTGAGTGATATTATGCAGACAAATGACATACTTGCTGTGAACTTCATAAAATCCATCAACCAGGCATAGATACAATACCATTCTGCTAACGCGACTGCCCTGACAAGGGCTGCCTTCAATGATCAGCAACGTGTATCAGTATCTTTTTATGGATGTTTAGGGATGTTTTAGGAATCTCATAACCAGAACTGATACATTTCTTTTGCGGTATAAAGGTGACATCGTGAGTATTTCTGGAAAGAACTGGCTCTCTTCCCATCCTGCAGTGACTCATAGGCCCCTCCCTGCTGTGGATTTAAAATAAAAACATTCTATCATGCTTAGATTTCCTCTAACACATGGAAAAACACATAGTGGGTGCTCAACTAGGGATGTTTGATTGGTTTTCTCATGACTAGCATTTCTGAAGCTCTCTTTGACTATTCTCAGATCAAAAAGAAAAAAGAAGCTGATTTTTTTTTCTCCCAGAGGCCAGTGGGAATGATTTGCCTGGCAAGCTCTGACTGCCGCCATCTTCAGCAAGCCATCCCACTGTGGGTGAAGAATTACAAGGGGCATTTTATGCACTGTGGCCTCATTTCAACTTCCAAACACAGGAACCCGAGACCAAGCGTTTTCCCACACCAAGATAGAAAAATGTATAATTTTTACTCTACAGCATATCTGTTTATTCAGAATGAAAGTATCCAGCTCTCTTGTTGTTCTGATATAATTGAATAACCTGGGCCTGGAGTCAGATGCCTCGGCTTGAGTGGTTTGACCTACAAGTCATTTTGTACCCTCATTTAAACTGAGAAAAGAGTGGTACTGACTTCACAGAGTTTTTGTCAGGAATAAAATGACTCACATAAAGCACGTGGCACAAAGATAATCGATAAACCTTGGCTTTTTATTATTGGCGAAATTTGTATTTGCACCTTGTCAGTGTGTTATAATTCTCCTGAAACTATGTAGGAGAGAAAACCTGACAATTGCTGAGAATTTTGACCCAAGTCCTGGATCGGAACTGCCAGCCCTGTGACTTGGGGCATGCCCCTTTGTGCTTATACTTGGTTTCTCCATCTGTAAACCATAGGGTTGAATTGCAGATTCTTTTTTTTTCCCTACTCTGTCACCAGGCTGAATTACAGTGGTACAACCAAGGTTCACTGCAGCCTCAACTCCCTGGGCTCAGGCAGTCTTTTACCGCAATCTCTCAAGTAGCTGGGACTATAGGCGTGCACCACCAAACCCGGCTATTTATTTTATTTTACTTTATTTTTGTAGAGACAATGTCTCGCTATGTTGTCTAGGCTGATCTGAACTCCTGGGCTCAAGCAATCCTCCCGCTTCAGCCTCCTAAGTTGCTGGAATTACAGCTTGAGCCACCACGCCCGGCTTGAAATGTAGATTCCTGTAGGCCGGTTTGAATTCTTAAGATTGCAGACCTATTTCTTCCACCACTAAGCACCCTCTCCATTATCCTCCACTATCCAGGCCTTGAGCCACTGATGAGGAGCTGAACCAAAGTCATAAGATAAAGATGCCATTGTTCCAGTTGCAAGATATCCTTATGGAGACACTTAGCAAATGGCCCAGGACAGGCCCCAGAAGGAAAGTGTTTCCAACTGAAACCTGGAATCTGGTCCTCTTGGGTCTTTTTTCCAAATGAATTTTTAAAACAATTCCCAGAACTAATTAGTGCCACTTGAAAGATTATAAAATAACAGCAACAAGATAACTTATGTAGGGTGCATGATGTAAATACTGAATTAGCAGCGATTACATAAGTAGTGTAAAAATCAGACAAGTGAGTAGATCACTCCAAGTAATATTTTGTATCTAGATGAAGTAGATACTGTGTTTTAGAAAAATTTCCTCCCTTAAGAAGACTGGCTGTAATTGGATTTATCACGATATGATTTTCAAAATTGTTATTGTTGAAATAACAGTTTAATCTTAAAGCTGTATTCTCTTTCTACTCTCCCATCTGAATCGACAGGTGCCTGGGAAATTTGATGACTTTCTTTTCCTGATGGACAACTGTCTCACCAGACTGGACAGGGACGAGGGACTAGCTTTTCTAAAGCCAGTTTTGGAGAAGGCATTTTTGAAAAGGTCCTTTCGCAATGGAGTTGGCACGGGGATGAAAAAAACTTCCTCTCGAAGAGCAAAATCCTGAATAAGTGTGCAAAGGACTCTGGGAATTAATCTCAAACTATGTAGCGTGTGACTGACGTGCTCAAAGTCAGTTGTCTCTTTATCATTGAGTGTCGGTCTGCTCTCAATTCTCAAATATCTTTCCTCTACTAACTGGTACAGAGTAAATCGAGTTTAAAAAAAAAAAAGTAAATCTGTCTCAAACTTCTGCTTGTGGGAGAAGAAACTACTTTTTCATGTGGTGAGCTAGTAACTTTTTCCCAAATGGGAATGGACACATTTGCTTTGATCTTAAATTGACCAGAAAGTATGAGTGTGCTTGCAGTCATGACAATAATATGATTTTTTTTTCCTGCCTCTGATATCAAAATATTGAGTGCTGCAGTATTTTTATTTTTAATATGGTTTCCTCAAATCACTTAGCAGGGCCAGTTCTGGGGGGCTGTGCTATCTCTGTTTTCTAAGAGAGTCTTGTGAAATTAACCAAAGTTGAGATAAGTTGTGCAGCGGTATCAATCAATAACTTTAGTTGGAACAAGCATCACCACAGCGCTCTGGATGTGATTCTTGTCTTTTTCTTCCAGTTCCAAGTATACTTAGATACGGATAGCTGTTTCGTCTTGGAAATCGGCTGCTTTTAAAAATCTTTAAAGCAGAAATGTTGCTGGTAACAACAAGGACAACAGAGAGGTTACCGGCTGTCCTGTGTCATGCAGGAAGCTGTTTGGAGCTTGTTCCCCCAAACTGTGCAATTTATGTCTCTCTCCTCCCCATGGGGAAGGACCCACCACCCCTCGCACTGCAATTTCTGACACTGCTTTTCAAAAAAGGATAATGCAACACTGGTCGACATGCTATTTCAAAAGCATAACGTTAACAAATGTGTTCATGCATGTAGGATTCTGCAACAGGCTACAGTGTTCACCATAAGCCACACGTGGCTCCCAGACTGGGAGCTGCAGAAAGCCCAGGATGTCCTGTCCTTAGCCACCAGCTTCGGACAGGGACCCCGAGTTTTCAGAAAGCAGTACTCGTGGTGAGTAGGTCTGACCAGCCGATCTATGTCTGTGGGAAGCAGTCTTCAAATATGTTGCCAGGTATCCCCTGGAAGAAACAGACACCTCTAAAGGTGTTCTGTGATTTGCCCTTGACTTTTATGAAAACAGGTGGTTCTGTGGTTGTGGCGCCTGTTTACTTTGCTCTCACTACCCAGATTAACACTAAGCATTTGGGGATGTAATCACATAGATCATGTAAATGCTAGTTAGGGGAAGGAACATTTATTTTAAGGATCAGGGAACCTCAGGGAAACATATTTTTAGAAGTCAGAGGAGCCTGCCAGAAGAGGAAGGCCGTTGGGCTATATCCCTGCCCTCCAGGGTGTGGGCTTCCTCTTGCCTTCTTCCAACTGTGTTTTCTTCCTTACAAACCAGATGGTCTGCAAGTCTTTGCTTTTGCTCTGCCATAACTTCAACCTGCCCAGGGCTTTGTGAGGCTCTCCAGGGCCTGACAACTCCAGCGCCCAACACCTCTCCCCGGGCCAGCATTTTCTTTTCTCTTGGGGGCCAGGAGTCTACTCTGGGTTCTTGCTGATGGAGCAGGAGATGCAGGGTCATGTGTCTGGGGCTGCTGCCATGGGCTGTGGCAAGGTGGACTCCTATGAACGGGTGTGGAAGAGCAGGAAGAAGCCATCCTTATTCTGTTGTGTTACCCACCTCACTCTCCCTCCGTTCCCCAGGTCCAGAAGGTTACCCGTGGCCTTCTGGTCCATTCCTTCTTTTGTCAGATATTCTTCATAGAGGAGAGCCAGATGGCCCTTTCCATAATTTTGAAATGTTCTTTTTAAACACATCCATATTTTCTTTCTTTCTTTCTTTTGAGTTGGAGTCTCACTCTGTCACCCAGACTGGAGTGCAGTGGCCACACTCCTCGACCCGCTGGGCTCTGGCAATCCTTCCGCCTCAGCCTTCCAAGGAGCTGGAACTACAGGTGCGTGCTACCACGCCCAGCTAATTTTTTGATTTATTGTAGAGATGAGGTCTCGCCGAAT